ACCTGCGTTAGCATAGATACCCCTTCTTCCCCACAGTTTCATCTCTAGCACTGAAGTTTCTCTGTCTCCTTATCCCCAGTTGGGTGAGTGCAGTGTCTTTCTTTCTTCATATACAGGGTCTGCTGTTTCTTTTTTTTTTCCTTTTCAATCTGTCCTTCCAACTCTCTTTGCCCAAGGCTGACCACACTCATTCCCTCATTTCCAAAAGCACACAGTTTATCTGTTTTCCCTGTTTGAGACAGCCAAAGGCTTTCAAAGATAATGAAAATCTCTCCACAGCAATTTTGAGTTACAAAGAATTTGCTGGATTTGCTGGCACAAAGAGTTACGGGAATGTTCTTCTAGTACTTTGTGGTCTGGAATCCCTGGAGAGTCAGGGATCTACAGGGAACAGAGACATGTGAAAATAATTATACAACAGCATGGGAGGGCGGTATTGGAGGGGTGAGGGGGATAGGTACCATGTAATTTTTGCACAAGAGCGAGCAGTAGGTCTTGAAGTAGGTCTTGTGGCATTTTAACAACACCTGGGACTGGGGATAAGAGGACCCAGGAAGCGGTGCCACTAGTGCAATGGCAGGGAAGCATGATAACATGCCAGTCTGGATGTGGCTAGCTTAGCCCTTACTCACAGATGGGCAAGGCGACTCAGCTGGTTTGGCTGGCTAGGCAGATGGCCCGCCCACTCCCTCACATTCCATGTGTGTCCTTCCTGAGGCTGCCGTCATGGAATCATGAAATGCATCATGAAATGCATCATGAAATACGTCAAGACTAGAAACACAGGCATGCCTTGCCATCCAGGATTCATGGGACACCACCTTAGGTATGGCCGGGGCACAGAGTTATTGCTTGAAGGCAGGGAAAAGTGAAGGAAAGAATTGGCAGGAAATGATAGTTGAGCCTTTGGTCCAAGTCGTGGGGTCAGGAAGAAGGCTTTGACTAAACCTGGGTTTTTGTTGCATCTCTTGATGCAGCTATAAGGAGGAAGCCAAGAGCTAGGTGTGACCGAGGGGTCTGCAGTAGCGCTGTGCTCTGCTGGCAGTAGCAGTGACTTCTAGGAACTGCATCTGCGGGCACCTTATCCTGCAAGTCCCACCTCCAGTCTTGTGAGAAATCAATGTTTGTTATTTAAGCCATGCAGTCTATGCTATTATGTCTAGCAACCCCAAGTGACAATGAGGAAACCAGAAAGACTGGTAGGTTTGGGGGAGACCATGAAGTCCTCTTGCAAATCGATGGGCCCTTAAAGGCAGAAAGGGCCAGAAAGTGTTTAAATACATTGGTCTGAAGCTCCGTTGGAATTAAATGTAGATGACAGGGCAAAGCAGGGGAGCTGAGAGCATTGGGAAGACAGGACTTAGGTAGGAGACATTCTTATTTAAGTTCAACAAATATCTCACAAAGTCCTGGTTAGGCATGTTTGACCTGCAAGGTAGAATCTGGTATAAACTTCTACCTCGTGGAGCTTGCTCTGTTTTCAGGACTCAGTTTCAACAGGTATGAAAATTGTTTCCGAGAATTATCGCTGAGGTAAGGTGTAAAATTTAGGTCTACAAGTTAGGTCTATTTCCCCGGCTTTCTCAGAGATTTAACACATAAGAATATAACTCTTTTTTTTTTTTCCTTCTTCAGCTATGTATGAGGTTAAACCACATTGTAGGATAGGATAAGCATGACAGTTGGTTTACTTGTTCTTTGTTTACTATCCTGCTTATGTTTAAACAAAATGTGTTTGACTTACGGCCGTCCAAAAAATGAAAGGTGTCTATGAAAATCTCCAATTTTAGGAGTTAAAGTGGAGAAAAAATAGAAATAGGTTAATATGGTTTAACTTATGTTGTAGAGCAAAACTGCCTTGTTGGAAGGTATTTTCCTGTATAATGACTATTTTAGATAAACACACACACATGTACCCATAGTTCCAGTCTTTCATTGACTTCTAAAGCTTCTGAAAAAAAGTAGTAAATATTTAAGAAAATATTTAAATATTGAAGTAAATATTTAAGAAACATTCTAGAATATATAAAGTGTATGAAGGACTGCAGGACTAATATTTTTCTTTGGAAATTATACTTTAGAAGATTAAAAATTAAAAATTTGAATTTAATATGCATGCTAAAAGCGGAGATATGTACTGTATATCATAAAGAATTGATAAACAGTAATTTAAAACAAATAACAGCACCTTCTTTTACCAAGATTTTGCATATTGTGGCAATAATTATATACTCCTTAGAAAATTCCCTTCTATAGTGTGAGATCCCTTACTGGAAAAAAATTTCAGATACATGTGGATTCACATTGAAAATTGGTCTTTATTTAAACATTTTAAGTTCAATTCTTCGTGAATTACATTTCAGCCAGTGGAATACAGGTAACGCATTTTTCTACTACTTCCCCCAGAAACTGATGTGTTCATTCTTTTATGGACTCAGGGGGGCTTTTCAAATTAACTTTGATTTTTACAGTCCTCTTTTCATATCCCACGGGTGAATTTACTGTGGAGACTTAAGAATGATAGAACTAACTTCAGGAGCCTCCCAACCATATTGCTTTGATTGGGTGAATATAGAAAACTTTTTGGTTATCAGATTCAGACCTGAGCTTTAGCAAGAAGGTGAAACCTTTCAGGACAAGCTGTGATATGAATTAATATGTAAGAGGCACTTGGGTGAAAACCTACTCTAAAATAATTCCTTGAAAATTTGAGAGTATGTTCAAGTCAATATATATGACTGCGGTTCATCTCTCTTGGACAAACCAGCTCCCTTTCGTGAAAGTTTTCTTTATCTTTTCATGTAGCCATTGTATCAATGCTCAAGGTAGAACCCTTAAGTAAAATTACAACCCATAAACCTTTTGGGCAATGGTTCTAATTAATATAATTAAGTTTAACAAAATGTCATGGGTTGTAATTGAAAGAAATCATCTGGGTCTGAAGAATACCTACTGAGGGCAGCCCTATTAAGATTAATTCTTAGGTGGGTAAATTAATTTCCCCCATTTGCAATGCAGTAAAGGCAGATTTTCCTTCCTCATAAGCCTGGAGGGTTTGCTGTTTGGCCCTGTGGAGACCTGGGCCAATCTGGGCTGATTAACATATATAATTAAAGTGGACCATCCAGAAAGGCCGAGCCAGTTTTATTTGGCTGTGTTCTACTGTGACATAATTTCTTTCTTTCCACATTATTTACATTTGTGTGGGGGTGTCTCATGGCCCTGATATCATCCCACTGCCTTCTTGAGGATTCTTACTTCCAAACCCAGCAGACCCCAGAGTAGACAGGCTTTCCTTTGCAATCCAGCTATATTTGTTTTCCGTTCATATCACCATTTTTAAGCCACATTTTTCATCACATGGTAACAAACACTGTAAATAATTGAGGTGATCCATCAAGAGACCCATTCTTGATAATGAAAAATTGCATAACTCAGTGGAAGTCAATTAAAAACCACAAACTTCAGAACCCTTTGCACAGTGAAGATTTATTATTATAGAAGGCATTTAATACAATAGATGGGGCAGGGGGAGCGGTCAACATTTCTAAAAGTTCTGAAAATTGACAATAAACTTGAGAAAGATTTACATCGTATCAAAGTATATTCGTTCTTTGAAATGAAAAGGGCTTTTTCTCTTCCTTTTAACATGACATGTCTGAGATGTTCAGGATTTTATAACCACATTAGAAACAACATCCCAGTGTGGGGATTTTTTTTTTTTTTCCTGTGAAGGTTTTAAATGATTCTTACTCCCTGGTTGTGCCCATACAATGTAAAGTAGACAGATGAAATGAGAGAAGTCAGGATATTTTTCTCTGTTTAACCAAATATCAGATTAATTAAACTACCTAGATAAATGACACAAAATGTTTTTCACGGGTTGCTTGGTTAGGACACAGCCAACATTTTACTAGAATATAATCTTACGCAGTTCCATATAATTTTTAAAAAATAAACAATGACTTTCTTTCTTTAGAGACATCAAATGTTTGCATGAGTGGTCAAGGGAAACAAACATACCAAGTCTCTAAAATGCAATATCTCTAACACTTTTTTTCTTTCCCTTTTCATGATTTTTCATGCCCAAAATATTAAATTAGCTAAGGAGCAACATCTATCTTCAAAAACCAAAAATACTTATCCCATTATTTTGAGGTTTGTAATTGACCAGGATAAATTTAAACTGTGCCTGCAGGCTTAGGTAGGAGTCAGCAGCCAGGCCTGAGGGATGCCTAACACCAGCCAACAGCACACACACTTATGACTTGCTTCCTACTGAAATTAAACTGCCAAATAAAAAGAAGGAATTGTCCCCCTTTTTAATAACAAAGAATGCCATCTTTAGAATTCTTCAGATTTGGAATTCCAGCAGTGTTCTTGTGTTTTCCTCTTGATGTGTGACGAGAATGAATGATAGCAAAAATAAAAATAAACCTCATCTCAACAAGCGGTCCTTTGACTTTATAAGGTTCACCATCAAAAACCTTAAATACTAAAAATACCTAAGACCAACCAAACGTCAAAATGGAGGGGATCACACTCGCTGAGAATGAGACAGATTTTTAAACTTCGGATTTGAAAATCCTAGCCTTAACTTTGCTCCTTCCCGTTGAGATATTGCCACTGTAACTGACTACTGGGGACCATGATATTTCATATTCATATAAATATTTGACTTTGACCTCATAAAAAGTCCCTTGGGTCTGTAATACTTTTACTCTAGTATAATCTGAAACAAATCCTTTCCTTTTAAAAATCAAACAGAACATGTTAACACACACAGTTGACTAACTATTTACAAAGCACCCAATTAAATCCTACTTAATTCTCACTAAAAATTCCATCTAACTGGTGTGTAGAGTACTGATCACATTAAATGCATGTTCACAAGCCCTGATGGTCCTATCTAGCCTAGAAAATATTACCTTCCTTAAAGAGAAAAGCAAGTCTTTAAAAGTAAGTACAAGGTTTGGAAGAAACGAGACCAGAAATCACAGTACAAGACAGAGAAATCTACTTTAATATTCACATGGAAAAGTTACACATCACAAGAGATTGGACAGTAGTTTAGCGGTAACTAACATCGCTATAGTGAAAATCATTTTTATAAAAAAATAATCTAGATGCAGTCATCAGAATTTTTGGTCTACTTATGTTTGAAGATCGACTTTTATCCCTGCTTGAAGGATTTGCCATTATGCCTTATTGTTTTCCCCACTGTTGCCTATTAATAGTTGGAGGAAGGAAAGCAGAAAGTGTTCATTTCCAAGAGTATGTCCTTTGGTAGCAAGCAGAGAACATTTTTCATTTCTATGATTTAAATAATATGTACAGACATGAAACTTGGTGACATTAAGCTTTCGTGGAAAATGAAGAATGAGAAGCATATTTTTCACTTAGATAAAACAGTAGATTTCATAAATTCCTTAAGGACCCAAGCATTTCCCCATCCCATAGGCTAAATCATTCCGAATCCATTTTGACTTGAGTTAAAAAGCAAAAACCACTTTTTATATATTACACTATCGAACTCTGTACTTAAAAACCGATAAAGTATATTTTCAACATGTATGCTTCAAATACAAAGATTTCAATCTAGGTTAAAGAAAACACATTTGAATGGACTCAGAACAAGTTTATTTTGTGATTAAACATCTCATGCAGTCATGCAGGACCACTAGCTATAGCTGTTACTTCCGAGTCTACGCAACACTGGGAAAAACAGAAACAAATTAAAAAACCAGGCCAAACAGAAAACACATTCAAGATAGGAAGAGCTCTGCCATGGAGCTGAAAAATAATTTTCCAACAGAAATATTCCCTTAGATTAAAAAAAAACACACACATAATATTTACAAAAAATATTTAATTAAAAATATCTTATAATTACAGTAGTCTATTAAAGCATATACTTTCTCACACTTATAGAACATCTCTATATATACATGGTATGAAATGTCACTCAGTTTTTATCTATACAATATGTAACATTCTTGCAAGGAAAAGAAAGTTCCCTGCTCCGTTATAATCATCTATTTTAAACAATAGATGTAAAAAAAAAAAAATATCTACAATGCTCTGGTATATTAGTAAAGCTTCCAAACAAAACTTGAGCTCCTTGGTCACAAAGTAGGCATCTAAAGTCGGGATTTACTCTTGATTTTTCTATTTATCAATCCTGTCACACTTAAGCTTAAAAGTTGAACTGCACCTCCAAACAACACAGAAATGTACAATTAATTCACAGCGGTTATAAATGAAAGAGACAGAGAGACTGAGTATGCAGAATGTCTATGAACGTGCGAAAAAAAAAAAAAGAAAAAAAGGAAAAAGGATGAAAGTTTGAGTTTTCTTTCCTGTCCCTTTCTCTTGGAATGACGAACGAAAGGTTTCTGGGGTTTGCTGATTTTTTTTTTTTTTCCTTTCCTCCGGTGGCTCTTTCTCTAACTTCTGCTCCCCTCCCTCTCTAGTGTTCCTGGCTCTGGCTCAGGCGGCTGCACACCTGTGGAAGAGGAATGAATAGAGGGGGTGTGTGAACCTTCCCACTGCAGACTAACTGGCGCCACCGACCAAACTCAAGACATGCTTGATCAACAACCCCAAACAAACCACCAGGTCAGACAACACCCCGGCCAGGCGTGCAGCACTCAGTGCGCGGCCCCTGGAAACCTGGAGGGGGGCACCCAGTGCGGGCCCAGCCCGCGCCCCTCTTTGTGGGTGTCTGGCTGCGCGCCTGGGGCACCGGGCTGCTTCCACGCCCAGCAGGGTATACCTTCCCTAGGAAAGGTGGGGGCGCAGCAGGAGCCCGCCGATCACCGGGGGCGCAGAGGAAGGCCCGGGTGCGGCGAGGATAGGAGGGGATCCCCTGCATTTAAAAGGAACCCGGAGTTGCTACAGCGAAGTGCGGGTCACTTGCTAAGTGGGTGGCCGGGAGGGGAGCGCGCCCCGCTGCCTTCGGAAATCCTGGGGCGGCCCCAAAACACCGCGGCGCCGGCACCAGACACCCCCGGGGACGGATGTCTCCGGCGACCGGCCCCTGGAGAAGGGGCGCGCGCTCACCTGGGCAGCGCGGCTCAGCGGCACAGAATGCTGTCGCCCTGCTTGTTCACCGCGCCGGCCTGGAACAGCAAGGGGACACCAAGGGAGAGGTTAGCAGGCGCCAGCGTCGCGCTCCGCCAGGTCCTGGATGCCTCCCCCCCCCGCGCCAGGCGGGCGCGCCGACGCCCCCTCCCCGGCCGGCAGCCCCGGGGGCCCTCCCGGGACTTGACAGCCCCGGGTGCGCACCGCCCAGGTCGGGCCCGCGCGCTGCCCCCGACCCGCGCGCTGCGCGCCCAGCCGGCAGCCGGGGGCGCCTGGAGCAGGGAGGGGGTGCTGTCATTCTTGGCAGCAGGATGGGGCGCGCCCGCGGCGCGTCTGGCCACCCCGCCCGCGCCCCCCCGGACCCCCGCGGCGGCTCACCGGGTCGGTGTTGAGCGCCGTGAGCGGGGTGCGCGGCGGCCCGGCTGGACAGGTCCCCGCCGGGTGGAGCGGCGGCGCGGCCGGCGGCGGCTGTCTCAGCAGAGCCGGGTGCGTCTCCAGCGCCAGCTGCAGGTCCAGGATGTAGTCGATAACGTGCTGCAGGATCTCCACTTTGCTGACTTTCTTGTTGGGCGGGATGGTGGGCACCAGCCTTCGCAGGCGGCTGTAGCAGTCGTTCATATCGCACTGCAGGCACAGCGCCGGCTCGTCGGCCGCCGCCTCGGCCGCCTTGCAGCGCGCAGCGGCCGCCGCTGCAGCCGCGGCCGCGGAGCCCCCCAGGCTGTGGCCGTGCTCGGCCAGGCAGCGCAGCGCCAGCTCCCCGCCGCCGCAGCCCGACGGCGCCTTGCGGCCCGAGGGGCGCACGGGGCTCACCGCCTTCATCGCGCGCGCCCTGCGCCCTGCGCCCCGCGCCCTGCGCGAGCGGACCCGCTGGGGCGAGCGAGCGAGCCTGGCAAGCTCCCGGCCCCCGCCCGCGGCCGGCGGCTCCGCGCGCCTCGCCTGGGTGCCCGGCGCGCGCGGGGCACCCCGAAGCTGCCGCCGATCCCGCGCCCAACAATCGACGGGAGGGGCGCCCCGCGCTCTGCTCGGGGCTCTCGGGCTCCGGGGGCGACTCTCGACCGGGACCAAAAGCAAGAAAAAGCAAAAGCGCCCGGGGAGGAAAGCAGCCCACCGGGTGCCCCGGTCAGTCCCTTCCGAGCTCCGAGCACGGCTCGGCCGCCGCAGCCGCGCGCCCCGACCCCGAGGCTCCCCCGCAGCCGGCACCGGCCTCCCCGCGCGCCTCCTCTACGCTCTGGCCCGGCCCGCCGCGCAGCTGCATTTATGGAGCCGCGCGCCCGGGGCGGGGCCAGCGAGCCGGACGGGGCTCTGCGCGAACCGAGCGGAGCCGGGCTGGGCGCGCGGGCGGGGGAGCGGAGGGGGGCGCGCGGGCGCGGGCTCCGGGCGGTGCTGGGGGGCGGGGAGCCGGGCAACCCGAGGATGGGTGGGCGGGGGGTCGGGAGGGGCCGGCCAATCAGGCTGGCGGTGCCACCTCAGGGAATGGCACTCGGGCCAATCGGAAGGGCACTCCATGCCGTCAACGCGGTGGGTGGGGGCGCTGAGAATAGGGAGCTGGGTGGGAGTTGGGCCCGGCTGGTGTGCGCCCTGGGGAGGGGAAAAGACGGGGAGAAGTTCCTGCGAAGAACTGCGGGAATGTGCGGCTGGAATTCACTCGCCCCGGCTTGGGCTGCCGAGGGAGCGCAGGGCCCGGCCAGGAGATCCTGCCGCTCCCAACAGCGCGGCGCCCGGGGGACCCGCCGCCACCCATCACTCCATCCATGCTGGGATGCCAGTGCCTTAAGAAGGACGCTAGCGGCTCCAGAAGGCACGTTCTCTCTGTTCTGTCTCCCCACGCCGTTTCGTTATTCGCCTTTTTTTAAATTTTTTAAATTTTTTTTTACAATTGCCGAAACCACAATGATGGAATGGAATGCGTAGCCTTTCTGTTTCCTTTTTCAGAAACGTTCAAGCTTAGCAAAAAAGAGGGCAGGAATACCGAAGGCAGAGTTTTAGTGAAGGGGTATGTGTGTATTTACATATTTGCATTTATATGTACATGCTCACGCACGATGTTGTAGGGGGTGTTGTTTTTTAAACTCATCTCGATGCAAAAGTGGACCCAAGAAATGCAGTTGCCTTCAGCATTCAATGAGAGCACTTACATATTAAAAATGCATGGGTGTGGAGTATTTAAAATTCCACCATGACATATAATATTAATCCCTTTTATGTAAAATTCATACCTGTAACTTCATGTAGCCCATTAATGCGCTGCTTCACGTATTGGCGCACCCTGCTTTAAATAAGATGCTGAAAATATCCAGTCGCCTCCTTTTTGCAACAAAGGATTAAAATTCACTCCAGTTCCTGGAGACCTGGCTGGGCCCCACCATACAGAAAAGTGAGTTCATTAAGGACATTTTTTTTTGTGTTAGACTTTCAATGGCCAAGCTGTCCTTCAAGGGCTGAAAACCAAACTGCACAGTGAAATTTGGGGTGGGGTCGTGTGTGTACACTTCGTGGGAAAGAAATGAGCACTTCAGATGAGACGGAGCATAAAAGCTCCCAGTCGACGGGAATGAGGAATCTCAAGGCCTCTGCCCTGCAAACCTCCCACCTTTTGACAAACTAGGAGATGCGTTAACTCAAGAATGGTTTACATCTGTGTGTATGATGTGGCTTGGTGTCTTCATTTTTACAGATAATAGAAAGAAAGAGCTAGGCCCTCATCTGGTCCTGTCTACCCCTCTGCGGAAAGCTTTTCTCGCTCCCCTTCCAGAAATGAAATACCCACATCAGACAGGCATGTTGTTTAGCCATGTGTGTGCTTTATGACAATTGTGCTGCTCTTTCCCCAGAGCACTATCCTTTACCTGATGAAACCAGTCGTAACTATGCAATGCTGGTGTCACAGGTGCCTCCGGCAATGCCTCCTCTCCCCCCATCTCATATGTTACTGCTCTAATAGTTGGAAGCGAGTGACATTCTCAATTACCCGTCTGCACACACAGATCATCTGTGTACATCCTTATCAAGAAAAGCAACTTCTCACTAAAACCCCAAATTTGGTTTTCTTCTAAACACAGGTATAGTTTGATTGTTCTTGATTGATGCAAATACACACAGCCGATATTGCTGTTTTAGATGGAAAGTTGGGTTAGGGAGCACTCGTGGGCATAAGCTCTTCTCTCGGTGCCGGTCATATCAGCACAGATGATAACAGTAAATGGATATGTGCAAAGACATTTTGTTCCTTTCATTTTCTTTCTTCTCTTTTGTGGAGTTTAAAAGCCGCTCCAAAATTTCAAACCTCAAATTTTCTGTTTGGCAAAATTTTACTGTGCTGATATGCTCCGGGCACATCTATTTCAAAACTTTACATATCCTAACTTGATTTAAATTAAATTTTAAGTTTTCATTATGAGACACAGTGGGACCATCTTAGCCCTCTTTTTGGATCTTGCTAAGTCGCAGAGAGCTGTGGTGGGAGAGGTGCCAACACTCCAAGTGTCAGGTTTTGTTGGAGTTACTCTGTGTGACCGGCTCAAAGTCTGAAAGGCTGGGTTAGTGTGGGGGATAAGGCAAAGGAATGTACTGGGGTCACATGATCGAGAACACCCAGGCAAAATGTGATACCCAAATCCTGCCAGCGGAGTAGGCAGAGGCAATGATTATATTCCTCTTTTTGAAGGTGGGAAGGCATGAAGACATTCAGAAATTAAAGTGTGACATAGAATGTTCTACAGTGGAAATAAGGAATGTCATCCCGTTCATTTTGTGCCCCTGAACCCAGATTGTTCAAGAGGTTAGATACAATGTGCAGGTTTCTGCATTCTTAGATTCAGTCACTTACATGATGTCCAAGCCCAACGGGAGGAAGACTCCCAGCACTGATAATTCAAAACTGTTTACTCAGCACTTACCAGCTTCTAGAAGGACCTTACAAGCTACCGTATTCTACCTCCAAGGAAGGAACTTTGGTTTTCCAAGGTTGTTCCTCTTACGTCAAAATATTTCACTTGCACTTGTAAAAATAAGATCGACTAGCCAAAAGCCTTTTTACTAGGAAAGTGCTGGAGGCTTCCCAAATGTGCTTCAATGGGAACTGGGTTAAAAAATTCATAGAAGAATTGCTAGGAAGCGCTGGTGATGAGAGCCGTATGTACACCCCTCCTCCAGACAAAGAGTTCTGCCATCCTTGCTCAGGATGCATTCTAGATGCTAATCAGACTCTTGCTGAACTGCAACACTCAGTCTCTTAGAATTCACAATCTCCCTGTGTTTACATGAAGCAAGGGTATCCAAGCATATTGTGCTATTCAGTCCAAATGCCTTTTTAGGACTTGGTCCTGCTTTCTCCACGGCCTGCCCTCAAACAGTGGGTGGGCTCAGACACACAGATAAACACCAGCGTTCCCATGCTTGGGCCCTCTCTAGATGGACGTGGTCCCTGAAGGAGGCAGATGCATTCTTTCAGGGCATAAGAAACCACGATGTCTCCTGCAGCAGGAATGTCCCTTGTCCCAAAAGAATAAATTGGGCGATGTGGCAATTTAAGCTCAAGGCAACTTTATCTGGAACTCAGCATTGCAAATTTACTTGGGCTACCCTGGCTTTGCTGATACCAGTCCTGGGAATGTGGATTAACCTCTCCTCTTTGCCCAGTCTTGGTAAAGGCTAGTGGGAAGGGGATGTTTTATGTATTGAACATAAATAGCTGGGTAGACGTGGTCATCAAAAGTGCCTACTTCAGGAGTTTTAAAAGGTAGCCTGTTGAAATAAGAAGTAGGTGAGTTTTTACAGTTCTTCTTAGATTAAAGACAGAAAATGAGAAGAGGCATCTTTGGTTTTATCTTAAGAGCTATAATCCCTGGGCTCAAAAGTCAGTCAGCCTCTGCTACAGGGTTGGCTCCTTAATTTACTAGTTTTAGCTCTTGAAGCTGGATTCCTAAATTCATGGGCTTTTCATATACAAAACAAGGATGGAAATTGTATCTATTTTATAACATGTTTTTATGATATATGTTATATATATATAAGAACTTGTATAAAGTTCTTAGGACAGTGTCTGACACATTATAAATATGCAAACAATGTTAAAAGTTATTATTTCTGGCAAACATTGACACCCAATTTGTGGCTGGTCTTTTCATTCATTTATTTAGCTATTTTTTTGAAAGCAGAAGTTTTTCATTTTGATGATCAGTTTATCAATTTGTTCTTCCATGGATCATCCTTTTTGTATTTTATCTAAGAAATCTCTGCATAAGTCAAGGTAACAAAGGTTTTCTTCTGGGAAAAAAATCATGATTTTTTGGCAAGGTTAGTTTCAGAGAAGTACAGCTCATGCAGTCACATGGGGTCCCATGCTTAGTTTAATGCTCTGCTTGGTTTAATGTCTGCTTGACATTCTTAGTAATTTTTGAACTGGAGAACAAATCTGCATTTTTCATATCACATTAGAGTCTGCAAATTATGTGGCCAGGGCTGGTTTTAGGTCATGCTTAGGTCATAATCCATTTTGAGGTTATTTTTGTATGTGATTCATGATATATACATATGTATGTACATATATGTGCACAATTATTTCATGATACATGTATATATATATATATATGTATATGCATAATTGTTTCAGCACCATTGGTTGAAAGACTACTTTTTTCCCCAATGGATTACCGTTGTGCCTTTGTGAGAAACTGGTTGTGTATGTGTATGGTTCTATTTCTGGCCACTGAATTCTGTTCCATTGGCCTGTTCGTTGTTTTGATGCCACAACCACACAACTTTGATTACTCTATAGTAAGTCCTGAAATCCAGCAGTGCCGAACTATTGATCTTCCAGATTTTCCTTCTTTTTCAAAGTTGTTTTGGTGATTCTGGGTACTTTGCATTTCCACATGAACTTTAGAATCTGTGAATGTCTTCAAAAAAGAACTTGTATCAAAATATATAAAGAATGCATACCAAGAAGACAGAAAGAACCCTCAAAACTCAAAAAATAAGAAAACAAACAATCCATTTTCAAAGTGAGCAAAGACTTAGCCAGACATTCCACTACACGAGATAAACAAATGGCAAATAAACACAGGAAAAGGTGCTCAACACCATTAGTTATTTGGGACATGCTTCAAAACTGCAATGACCTATTGCTACATACCTGTCCGACTGCTAAAGTTCAAGAGACTGACCATACTAATTATTGGTAAGGATAGAACTGG